CGGAGAGCCAGTCCCCTACTATGACATCGACGTCGTCTTTGGCGAGGGATGCGATGGCTCGAACACGGTCGGAGAAGCCGCCTGAGGCACCGCCCACGCGTACGGGTCGGCGGACTGCGGGAGCCATTTTAAGGGCGTATCAAGGAGTTGATCGGTAACCACCGTTACCGAATATCTCCTCCCCCAATGTATACAACCAAAGTACGCGAGAAGACCCCTCGGGCTCGAGCGCGAAAGACAGAGAAGGAGTTGATCGGTATGATGAGGATGGCGGGTAGAAAGCGCTGAGCGAGCCAGACATCGACTGGAAGCCATGCTGAGATGTATCGCTGCGCCATCGGAATAGCTTTCCCCTCATGCACTGGAGTCTGTGTAGGAATTCGAACGGCTGTCCATATCCGTAGGAAGCTGCGGACTATGCATTCAGAACTGGGATGGACATGTACGAAGTACCCCACTTGGGGCGAGCCGCTGGACTAGACCATCAGTAGCTAAGATCTGACCCACTCACTCCGCTCTGGAGTCTAAGGATGGCTTTCGAGCTGCCGAACATACGCGAGTTGCCTACCTCATGCGGCGCGTTCCTGGGCGGGTCGTGGTTGAGGGGAGCGTCGGGTCGGAGAGGAAACTGAACAGGCCTGCAGCCTACCCCGAGATGAAAACACGCAAAGTAGCGGAATCAACGTCAATGTAGCCTTCATGATGTTTGTTCACTCTCTTGAACGAGGTGAGGGAGTGTCGCGGTGTCCACGGGTACCGAGGCAAGCACGGCCAGCTTGGAAGTAGTAGCAAGACCCGCGTCAACGATCGTGAACTTTACATCAACGTACCATAAGAGCAAGTCATCAGACACAATGTCGTTATCGATCATATCAATATCGGTGTGGTAGTACAAATCTCGTAATCCCTTGGAACGCAGCTGGCGGCGGCGCTGTGCCACACCACGTGCCTGCCGATTCGGACCGACACTAAAACACACACCATCCCCTAACCATCGCGCATCCCCGCATCTCCACACCTGGGATCAACTTTAATGTCGCAGTCACCGGGGCGCGCTAGAGCGCCCGCTGGCCTCCCCATCCACGCCCCCTCCAGCAATGCGCATCCACCCAGCAGCAGCAACGATAACCACGATAACGCGCCCCTACCTTCCTACCTCGCGCGGCATGTCCAGCTCGGCTTCTCCACCGACGATGTCGCTGCGCTCATCACCGTCATAGACTCCAGCCAAGACCGATCGCCCTCCTCTACGAACAGGACGCTAGCGCACCTCCCCGCAGAACTGCTCCTACAAATCCTCGAACATGTCCCTGTGGACTATATTCTCGACTGGCGTTTAGTCTGCCGTGGCTTTCGCGATGCGATCGACGGGCGGGTTCTATACCGCTGTCTGCAGAGGACGGAGCTGGTGGGGTATATGGGTGCGAGAGATTTTGGACTCATGGTGGACTTGGACGACGAACAGTATGAGTCCATCCATTTACTCGAAGCGGGGTTTTCGCACGTCGAGAGCGATGGCGATGATGCTGCCGGTCTTGGGACGAACCGACCTGTGTGGAGCGCGACGCACGCCGTCTTCGAAATCGCAGATGAGTGGTATGACGCGTTCAGGCGAGTGGGCGGTGCGGAAGCGAATGATGGCCATACGCTTGACGACGCGGACTCAGACTGGTATAGTGTCTTGGACCGACTGCAGTTGCGCCGCAGGGAAGAATACTTCGGGACGTTGCGCTGGTGCATCCGGCTCGACCACGCGGTTCTAGATTTGGATCTCCCGTGCGAATGGCGGCGAATGCACTTCGACGTCGATGTCACCCTGCGCACGGGTTCGATACGGGTTGCGTGGAAAGACATGCTCATCCGCTTCCTCAAGACGGAGCGACAATACCGGTTACTACTAGAACAAGTACGTCTGCTTTCAAAACAGCTCGTATGAACATGCTAACAACCACGACCCAGAAAACCGACTCCCCCTACACATTCTCCCACCACGAAGACTGCCTCCGCTCCGTCCGCCGCACCCACCTCATGCGCTCCCTCACAGACAGCAAAGACGACCTCCGCATCCTCTGGCACATGCGCCTCCTCCCACCCCTCTGGGCCAGCGCCCCATCCCCCAAACACACACCCCTAAGCCTGACCCCCACCGAAAACGACGCCATAACCACACTCCTCCTCCTGCGCCGCGCCGCCTCCCTCACCTCCTCCCAACTCACCTACCTCCACACCCTCCACACCTCCTACCAAACCATGGAGTCCGCCCTCCGCGACCTAGACGAAACATACTCTGAATTCAAATCCTACATGAATATGCCTGGTTTCCAGACGAATATTCTGCTGCCGGCTGTGATTCGCAATGCGAAGAATATACCGAGGAATCCTGTGGCGTGGAGTGATGAGCTGAGGAGTAAGATTGAGGGCATGGTGGAGAAGTGGCGGGGGCAGAGGGAGGTTGTGGAGAGGGTGAGGGGACTGTTGGAGAGTAGTAATGTGGCTATGGCTGTGCCGGATGATAGCTTTGATGAGCTGGGGAGTGATTTTTGAAATAGTGGCAGATGGGTGGGATGTAATGACAGGATTGAGATGTGGGATGGAATGGGTCTGCGGGCGGGCTGGCATGATGGATGATTCATTTTCATCTTGATGTGAGGCTGATCTATGGTGGACTGGATATATTTCTAATATTTTGCGGATCGACTAAATCATGTTTCGAAGTACGCAGCTGGTGGCGATGGCCCCTACATCCTTCATAGAGACAGAATAATGCGATGGTACTACGATCAAGAAAAGCATCTGTGTTAGCTCGGATGGCTTCAAGAAGATTAGGTTCTCTCAATCCGTGTTTTATACTCTTGGTCGAGGCATACAGTGTTGTCTGTACTAGCAAACGTGTGGGATCCCATGTCATGTATACCTTTCGATCATGTTTTAGTACACCCCGTGTATCACCAAAGTGATGTATGTGTAACAACACCTCCGTTACACTACATACCCGATCAAGGATCCAGCATCACACAACATCACAATCAACCAGCAAATGAAGACAAAGTGTTCCAAAGTATTATGATTAAGGCCTGGAATCTATCCCAAGCTCGGTATGCCGAATGCGCAATGTGTATATCTCAAAACACCATGCGCTGCATCAAACCATAATAAACAAAAAAATGCGCCAAAGCTAGCTCATCGAATCATTGCGCTCGCAAGCTATCAACATGAAGAGTAACAACAAGCGCCGGCGACATGCTCGCTAATGCAGGGAAGACATGCGGTGGAAGTAATGCAATGCGAGGCGAGGCGGTGGACATGCAGGGGTAATGTGAAGCCTGACATGCCATGCGCGGGAATAAGAAGAAGGGTTCTCAGAAGAATTCGGTGGGTGAATGCCATGCTCAGAGAATGAGAGCAGCGCCGAGGAAGACCATGGACGCGCCGACCATGGCGAAAGGAGCCATGGAGATGGACGAAGCGGCACCGTCGGCGGGGGGAGCGGCGGCGTCACCAGTCTCGCTGGCCTCGGCACCCTCAGAGCCAGTGGCAGTCGCGCTGTTGGAGAAGGGTGTGGCGGAGGAGAAAGCAGAGCCGGTTGACATGGAGTGCATGCTCCTGCTCTCGCTGGTGAGGCCGCTAGTCTCGCTGGCGGAGATGATGCTAGTAGATCCGGACAGGGCACTCGAGGTGGTGCTGCTCATCGACATGCTCATGTCGCTGCTCATGCTCGAGGCAGTCTCGTCGAAGAGAGCCTGGATGCGGATCTCGTGGCACTGGTCGCCAATCCACGAGTCGTACAGGTTGCCGAAAGCACCGCTCATGCAGCGCCACCAGCGGGTGCTGCCTCCTATGGCGAGCGAGTCGTTGCCGCACACTGAGAAGCCGCCTGTGTAGATTGCGCCTGCCTGGGGAGGGCCATCGAACTGGAACTGTTGGTTGGCGACGATGGAGCCGGTGCGGCCGTATTGGTCGTGGAGGATACCGTCTTCGAGAGTGCAGAGGAGGTCGCCGTCAGATGCCTGGTGATGGTGTTAGTACGATGTTATGAGTAAGAGTCCAGGGGAGCACATACCTCTTGAGCAGTTTCGCGCCTCCTGAGACTGGGGTTCTCGAGTGTGCCAATCCGGAAGGGCGTCGTGACAGTCGTCTTGCAGCCCTCGGGCGCAGAGGCATCGGGAGCAATGCCCTCCTCGACGGCCTGGGCGAGGCCAGTGGCCGCGAGGAAAAGCGGAGCGAAGATGGTGGAAGTGCGCATGGTGACGGTCGAGGATCCCTGACAAGCTAAGACCCACAAGTATGGGAGGGTATGTCGTATCGTATTACTCGTGATGATATGAAGAGTGCGGGATAGAAGATACTCGTGATATGGGCTTGCAGCGTCAAAGTCGTGAAGAATAGCAGAAGAGCGGCGATGGGAGGGTGCAAGATAAGAGGCTGGACGCGAGGCCGGCCAGAATTATTTGTTGGTGCAACCCTCGCGCGACTTCCACACAAAGCAAGGCCCAAGGCGCAACAAGCAAGGTGTACCTGCAGATCGACGCTCAATCGGGCAAGGCCCAACGCGTGGACGTCAATGCGTAGATTGCATGTTTATCGTTGAGATCATAACCGCTTGCCGAGATGAAACATGGCCGACCATGCACCCTATAGGGATGACGCCCGTAGAACTCCTGGGGAACAATACGAGCCTCAGGCTGTCCACGTAGGGCATGGTGAAGACACAGGAAAGCGCATCGTGTGCGTGCGACAGCGCCTTCTACACCCACACCGCCACCGGCACCAAGGCAGGTACCCGCGCCGACGTTGGAACTTGCGCCTGTCAACGCCTGCCCACTAATTTGCTAGCCCTCTGGGCACTCGAGGACAAGATCTGGGCAAACATCGCCATCGGCATTCAATTCCGTCGCACCATGGCCAGCGCAGCGTTTACGGTTACACGGCATTGCCGTCATCGCATTGTGTTTGCCCATTCTACACGAAACTGCCTTCCCCATAACCTCGCGCCTGCAAACCTACCATTTCCAGGCTGCCATGTCATTAAACTGCCGCTCTGCCTGCATCTTGTGCATGCTCACCGTCATGTCCTGTGGCGTCATACCTGCCCCAGTCTGCGTGGGTCCCGAGGTAGGTGCGGTAGAGTGCGTGTGCGCCGGAAGAACATCGGGGTCGACTGCCATCGCAGCCTTCGTCTCCTCACACACGCGCCCGATTGCAAATGTCTGGATTTCTGCAGCTCTGGCCTGCAGTGCTGGCATTTCTGTTTTGTCCCGCTTGTTGAGGTCGGGGTGGTTCAGCACCCCCGGCTTATACGTGTCTGCGCACAGTGCCATCAAATCACCGATATCTTCTGGCGCGTGCATCATCTCAAGAAAGAAGAATTTGTACCATCCCGCCAGGTTCAGAGCCGGCATGTACGACGTGTATGTTGTCATTGGCGTTGGCACATCAGCGATTACTTTTGCACCTTGCGCATGCGAATGTTGATTAAAGTTCCAGTTTGGTGTCAGGTTGGATTGGCAGGGCACCATGATGTGGGGGATTCCCTCGAGACTCCACAGCTTTGCAAAAGCGCTATAGGACCTGTAGGAAAAAAGACCTGACTTCACATTAGCCTTGCATCATCTGTCGGCAATTCAGACACTCACGACACGCGTCTTCGGTCAATTTCACCCAGCTTCCGATGATCTTTGGTGCTTCTAGAAGGCCCGTGTTCTTTGGCTCAAACTTCCGGTCCAGAGCGTCGAAAAGCAAATCGGCCAGAATATAGAACTCGCGTGTTGGAACTTCAGTGACCGCATCTGCAAACCTCCACGGATCAGCCAGTGGAATCGTGCTGACACTAAACGACCGCCGAGGAATGGTAAAGCCAGGCGATGGCGATCCAGTCGGAGATAGCGAAGGGTGGAAGGCTTGATATTGCGAGCCTGAGACCGATGATTCTTGTTCCTTCGGCTTCGATTCTGCAATAGTCAAGTTTCCAAGATCTGCAGGAAGCTCCGCAATGAACTCGTGTGGCGCAGAATGTCGAGACTGATGCGGTCCGGGCGTTGACGACTGACTTGACGGTACAGGCTTGTTTGACGGCACTTGAGGCGCCGTAGTCATCGGCTGTGTAGTCGGAGGGCTGACGGAGTGGGCGGGCACCTGCGACTGTCCTTGGCCGTATGTACCACCTGGGGACGGGCTATTCCACTGTTGCTGTGGATGAGGTTGCGGACTTGCCGCAGTGATGTTCTGCTGTGTGGAACATGTTGGGGAACCCGACTGCTGCCCGGTAGCCTGTTCCCATTGTGGCTGCATGGGCTGGGCGGGTATCCCTGGAGACATAGTCGAAGTGTGGGGTGGTGGTGTATGCTGCACAGCATTGTAGCCTCCTACTACTCCCGTCTGCTGTCCAGTATATTGGCCAGATTCATGTGTCGGTTGTGGGACAGGCGCCTGAGGCTGACCTGGCTGCGCCTGGTTCTGCGCATTGTACCCGTGTGTCTGTGTATGCTCCGCTATCCCGCCGCCTTGGCCGTATTGCCATGAAGTATGTCCTGCGGTCGTGAGCGGCGACTGTGGCGTATGAGACTGTGTGTTGGGTGCTTGGGTGGTTTGCGGTGGGAAGTAGTTGGTCTGCCCCGAGTGGCCGGAAGCGGGTGTAGAGTAGGTGGGTTGCTGATACGGAGACTGCTGCGAAGGTGGGTAGGCATTCGGCGCTTGAGGTGGGGGTTGATGCTGCGGTGGTGCCCATTGCTGCTGTTGCGACTGAGGACTGAAAGCCTGACCCTGAGGTTGCTGGTATGGTTGATTTTGGCCCTGCTGCCCAAAGTGAGTCTGGTAATTCTGATAGCTCTGGAGATGCTGCGGTGGGCCTCCCGGAGGCTTGTTCCCTAGCTTTGAGCTTATAGTCTTGCCCAGCTTGTTCAGCATTGGCTTTCCTGTCGTCACCGCCTGCTCAAGCCGATGATTCATCATCTGGCCAAACGTGCCCCCTCCCTTCTGAGATTGATATTGTGCTCCATAGTTCTTGGTATTGGGCTGATAGCTCGAGGGCTGCTGGGCGCCTTGCGGTTGCGTTACAGCGTTCTGGTTTGGAGGAACGTAGGATCCTGGCGACGGCATCGAGTTGTACTGCGACATGGCCTACAACGTGATATTAGTGAACTCTAGAGCGAGCATAAGGCGCTCTCTTGTCGTTACAGAGGCACCACACTGCAGCGCACAAAGCTCGTTACCACAGATGGGCATCAGCCGCACCGTATACGGCGCTTGGCAACAAGCCATTGAGTCTAGGGTTAGCGAAGACATTATCGTTAGTAAGGTGATCGAAATGTGTGGACAATTATGAAGGCATGAACTAATGCGTCTATCAAAGTCATGATAGCAGGTAGTGGGGTGTTTGGTGTTCGCCAGACGCGTAGATTACTTTTGCGGAAGTGACGGCATGCTGGACCCTGCAAGCTGCCCAGGGCCGAGGTGGAGCTGCGAACCTAAATAGTCACGCTTCGATACGCTAATTGCAAAACACTACTTATTATTCTGCGCGTTTATTATATAATTTATATATAATTACTAACTATTCTTTTAGTATTAAAATTAGTAGTATAGTATTATAATATTACTTTTTAGATAAGTAGATAGTAGCTAGTACTATAAAATAGTAAAAAAATTTAGTTAATAACTAGAGTTTAGTAGTAACTTAAATAGTTATAATAATTATAAGTAAAGTTTTAGAATGCTTATAAGTAGTATAAAATTTTATTTTACTACTTTTATTTTAACTCTATTATACTTTTTAACTTATATACTATTATAAATATTAAGTAATATATATTTTATATATAACTTAATCTATTTAATTCTAAGCTATTTATAATAGTTTAAAAACTAAAGTAGTAAGCTAAAAAAACTTTAGATATTTTACTACTAACTTTAGTAGTTAAAATTATTATATTATTATTTTTAGAGTAGTTAAGTACTATATTAATAAGTATACTAGTAAGTAGAGTATATATATATATATATATATATAATACTAATATTTATAAATATAAGTTACTTTAGACTTTTCTAGACCTAAGAGATAAAGCTTATAGTATACTTTTTTAGAAATTAAATAATTATATAATTATGTAATTATATAATTACGTAATAACATATTACTATATTAAACCTAATAGTAAACTTAAAAATCTCTAATATAAGTCTAAATTTATAACTTATAATACTTATACTTATACTATCTTTATAATAATTAATATATATATAATTATAATAAGCTAACTACTTTATATTTATTATATATTACTAATAGCTATTTAGACTATTAACTAGTAGTACTAGCACTAGTCTTATATAATTATATAGTACTAAAAAAAAACTAAGTAAGTCTATTACTAGTATAAAGTTTCTAAAATAACTTAAGATACTTATATAACGCTTATATAATATTTATATAAATACTAGTAACTTATATTTTATATATAATTACTTATAAGTCTAGCTATATTAGCTATATTATACTATTCTTTAGTATACTAACTATTTATTTTACTTATTATTACGCGTTTATTAGTATAGCCTAATACTATACTATATATATACTACTTTCTATAGCTAGTAAAGCGCTACCTCTCTTTAGCTAAGAAAAATAGTACTTTTTATAAGCTTAATAAAGTTAAGCTTATCTTAAATTACTAGTATATTTACTAACTTAGCTAGCTTTTTATCTAATATACTAAGTTAGTTAAACTATTTTTTTATAATTACTAAGATATTAAAAAAAAAGTTTATTTAAAAGAAATAGTATATACTTATAATATATAAAGCTATAAAGTATCTTTTATTACTAGTAATTACCTCTATCTATCTTATACTATTTTAATAGAAGCTTTTTTTTAGCTTTATTTTTATAGCTATATTTTATAAGTTTTTTATTAAAGACTTTTTAAAATAAACTAGAAAGTTAAATACGCTATATATATAACTAGTAAAAACTACTAAAGTAGTACTTTCTATTATACTAGGCGTTATTATTATTATTATTATAAGAACTAGAGTTTTTATTATAAGTATAGAAGTAAAGTTTAGTATAAGAAGTTCTTTATATTTAGTAGATATATTAGTAGATTTTTTAAATATATATAAAAGTATTAAGAAAGATATAAAATAAAGAAAAGTATTCTTTATATATAAAGTTTTATATAATCTCTTTTAGGCTACTATTCTTTAAACTATAGTATTAACCTTTATAATAGTATTATAACTATAGTTATCTATTTAGCTTTATAGCTAATAAAGAGGCTTTTATTTAATACTATACTACTTTTTAACTTTTAGCTCTTTTACTAATAAGAGCTATCTACTATTACTATTAGTATCTACTTAGCTTTAAAAGCTTATCTAAACATATATTTTTTAAATTTTAATATTTCTATAGCCTATAGCTTTATAGCTTACTTATTACTACTTTTAAGTTTACTTTTAAGTTCTTTAAAAAAGCCTTTATTACTATTACTTTTTATAAGTATATTATTATTATTATTAAAGTACTATATTTATAGTAAATATTATAAAAAAAGTTTTTTTAATTTTTATAGTTATATATAGTAAGTATAAAGTATTTAAAAAATATACTTATAATAAGATTACTATATAGAGTTACTAACTACGTTTTATTACTCTACTTTATATTAATACTTTACTATAATAAGTTACTTAGAAACTTAGAAAATTTATAAAGAAGTTAACTATTTTAAAAATATAATATAAAGAGTAATAGTACTTATATAAGCTAAAAAGGCTTATATTAATACTATAAAGTAGAACTATATACTTATAATAAAGTAGTATATTAAGTTATAAGCTAAAGTTTAGTTACTATTAGTTTAAATAGTTAGATAAATAAAGTATTAGCTAGATTTAATACTACTAGTAATTAGACTAGTAGCTAAATAATCTATATTAAATAAGACGTTTTATTTAGATATTTAGTTTACTTATTACGTTTTTTGCTCTCTTAGAAGACTGCAAAACACTACTTAAGCTTTACAACTATAATACACTTATAGCATTACTAGATATCTTCGATCTATATGAACACGACAACTTCAGTGTATGGCAGAATCCACGCGACTCATACCTCCAACTTCCACTAGAATCTTGACATGGTTCTCCTTGTTATTGATCAGGGCTTTGATCCCACCTTCTACCAGATCCTCCAGACTAATCTTGCTGGTAATCATCTTCATGGGTTTTAGAGTACCTAAAGACAAGTCAGCATCTGGAGATAGTAGTTCTCGCTCACCGCACAACTTACCAGCAGCTAGATGCTCGATGACGGCCTCGAGGTCCTTTCTTTGGTAGCCCAAAACGGCTGTGTATTGCGCCTCCCGGAACACGAGCATATTCGGGTTGAACGGAACTTCCTTCTCCCAAATCGCGACGTTGACGACCGTCCCTCGAGCGCGCACCGCCGTGCAAGCCGTTGTGAGACTTGCGGGAACGCCAGCGCAGTCGAAAACCACATCCGGTCCATCTTTTCCACTCAGAGCCTTGCTCATCTTCGCAACGTCGTATGTTTTGGGGCAGAGGACATGGTGCGCGCCGAACTCCCTTGCGAAGCGTTGCCGCGCGCCCGACACCTCGCTCACGATGATCTTCTTGGTACCCAGGGCCTGGAGACATTGGACGATTGCCAGCCCGATCGGTCCACCGCCTAGGACCATGACAACGGAGTCGGGTGTCAGTGGGGCAGCTGAGATAGCATGCCACGCAACAGCCAGTGGCTCCACCAGTGCGCCGACGTCGAGCGGTACGTTGGTGGGCAAGTTCAATACTGCGCCTTCAGGCACAACGACTGAATCGCTCAAACCACCACCTCCTCCCGAGAGCCCGATGAAGCCACCGTTTTCGCATACGTTTTCCGAGCCCGCCTTGCACGCCTCGCATTTGCCGCAATATATTGTCGGCTGAACAACGACATTTTGGCCCACCGTAAAGCTCGAGTTGTCCGAACCCACTTCAGTCACAGTCCCTGAGAACTCGTGCCCCAGGGTAATGGGAATCGTTTCGTTCGTACACGGGTGCGGTGTCGTCGGCGCGAAATTAGGTCCTCCGAGGTATTCATGAAGATCTGTACCACAGATGCCTACGAAGGCCGGTGCGACCTACACACTGTCAGTCATCGCACAAGCCGCTTCCCAAGCCTCAAACACATACCCTGACTTGTCCCGCCCCGCACTTCTGCTCATCCACATCCTCAATCCTGATGTCCTCTTTGCCGTAGTATCTTGCTGCGCGCATGGTGAATGTAGAAGCCCGGTCTTGATCACCCCAGTTCGGTAGTCCCATAACTCAGATTCCTCTCGATCAACGACCGTATTTACAAATGCGCTTTCAATAGCGGATGACATGACACGATCTGCGACCTCCGCTTTGCCAACTCTAAAAAGGAGCGACCTCGGTTCCGCTTCTCGGAACGTATGCGCACAGCCCCCAGGTGTACATGTGATCTAGAAGAGGGTAGGTACCCACTGTTGCCGCCGTGCCGCCCTACATATCTATGTATGTAGCGGGTTCTGGACGAATGGCCAAGCCCGGACTGCGGGCATCGTGAGGCGACGCGGCTCGCACAAGAGGGCCGCGTCCGCTTGCACGCTTGGGTATCATCGGGAGCGGGGCTGGCATAGTCACGATATCAGGAGGCATCTCCGTGAGTCCCGTATACCCGGCTGCCAGTGGTGCCATGCGAATGGGTTCGGTGGAGTTGGTGCGAGGCTAGGTTTGCGGGGGCGGGGAAATTGTGGAATGACTAACTTTGGTAACCCGGATGCTGGGCTCTTGCTTTGTTGATCCGACTTGGCTCTTGCGCTTCTTGTGGGCTAGCGCTCGAATTTGAAGTCTTTTCGCGAGGAACTTTGGCTCTTGCGCTCCTTCCTAAAGAACAGAGTGCGCAACAAAATGCACTTTTCAGATTCCAGCAGTCAATACTGACTCATGAATGAGCTTCCTTGTGCGACAATCGCGGTGTTTCAGGCTTAACAGTATCACCATGTAAGCTGCATCCTGCGTTTAGGTGGTCTGGCAACGTAGCCGGAAGACCTCACTTGATCATGACGACTTTTGCGCATCCAATGCTACGCCGATGTACGACTTCTTCTTCACCAAAAAACATTCAAGGACAGAACGAATGACATGATGGGGATTAATGACGAGGCTGGGCATAAAGCGGCTGTGCCGCCCACGCCGCGACAGGCAACAACATCGTCGCGAGGCAAATTTGCCTCTTGGAACACTGCATGTTTGCTCCCACCGAGCCGTTCTCTGATTCATATGCGTAGTCGCGCGTCTAGTTGAAGATGCAGCCATTCACTTATATTCGCGAATCCGTTCTCTATGCTTGGAACGACAGCGCCCGCTTTCGTCGCTGGACAAAGCTCCTGACATGCCCATGTCTGGGCTGCTGTTTCTGCCTCCACTCAGCTAGCTTCAGCGACTGTACTGGACACCGACGGAAAAGAAGACGACAAAAACGCATCCTTGTCATGAGTGAAGTGAAGCAGGCGCGGCGAGAGAGAGCCTTGCAGAGCAGAAAACGCAGTGTGTCTGTGGACAGGAGACAGATCAAACTGCCGTTTAGAAGGAGGAAGGAAGCTGTGGAGCAAAACCAGAGCGATTTCTTTGGGAAATTACCCGCGGAGTTGCGATTGAAGATCTACGGCATGGTATTTCGCGATATTGAGAATATTCTTGTGGATGCATACGACAAGGCGGAGGATGACATGTTCAAATTCAGCGCCGATCCTGGACGCTCAACAGACATTCTACGTACCTGCCGAAGGATGTAAGCCCAAACACCGGGAAACTTTCAGTACACTATCTAATCGTTCCACCAGCTACCACGAAGCCGTCGATATGCTATACTCAGAGATCGACTTCACATTCGCAAGCTACAGACGTTTCATCCTCTTCACTCGCTCGATCCCACCACCACGCTTGGCTAGTATCAAGCGCATTACCATCGAAAACATTGGGTCGAGATGGATTTCCGAAATCACTGAAGAGGAGCGATACCGCCGTAACTACGAATACGACGACTTCTTCACAGCAATCGCATCCTTGCCCAGACTTGAGTCCCTTGACCTGGAATTTGTAGCAAGAACATGGCATGTCTATCCCTATCCGCGCGGGGACGATATTGAGTTATTGGATGAGATCGAGCAGAGATGCAATACGGATGGCGCTGAAGTTTGGTATAGAACACGTGCGTCTCCGATTGAAGCAGAGAGGCTGCGGGAATGGGAGTATGAGAGGAAGAAGGATAGAGTATCTTGGACGACATGGGAGATTCATCCTTACCAATACACCAGACTATGGTGATGGTATTAAGATGCGCGTTTCTCCACAACATATCGGAAGGGGAGTTGGGTATTCATAGTAATGGGCTTATGATAAGCAAGTCTGCGACCCACATTCAGGGTGTGTTTCAACACCATACAGTAGCCTTGCGACGCTTGCAAAGAAAGCCGCGCCAGCCAAACAGCCTGATCAGCAGTCAGTCCAAGACTGTGCCAATATGCTACCTGGTCGGGATATGGTTGCCTGACGAAGCCACAACAGTGAACGGGCCCCACCAACTGTGCCTCCTTCGCAAGATCAAACAAGGCCGCCCACAACACATATCTTCAGCCAGCGTCGCCCCATCTCAACGTACACACCATTCAGACAACACGATGCCAATTCTCGGACCCATCAAAGATGCCATAATATACACATGGCACACCAACTCCATCCTGCGCTTCTGCTGCAAACTCGTCACTTGCCCTCTCTGTGGTCTGTGTTATTGGCTCAGATCCATCGAACCCCTTACCTGTGTTAAACGTCCCCCCGGCCGCCCATCTACAGCACAGCAAAGGCGATATGACGCCTTGACTGAGATCGAACATCGGAGACGCGTGCGTGCTTTGGAGAAGCGAAAGCGCAGTGTTTCAGTTGATAGGACCCGGGGGGTATGGAAGAAGAATGCGGAATATCAATCGCAAAGTTTGTTCTTTACCAAGTTGCCTGCGGAATTGAGACTGCAGATCTATGCGCTTGTGCTCTCTGAGCAGGAGGAAGTGGGGTTGAGGTTTAATCGCGAGGAACTTTGGGATCTTTGGAGGATAAAGGCGGTATCAGGCTGCAACATGGAGATGTTGAGAACTTGCAAGAAAATGTCTGTTTCCTCCTCGCTTTCGGGCAGTGTCGTTGAGCAGAACACTTACTAAAGGTACAGGTACCGCGAGGCCATTCCGGTGCTCTACTCCAATAATACGTTCAAATTCGATAACAACAAGATCCTGTCTATTTTCACGTCGACAGTCCTTCCGCAACGCCTCGCTCGGATCCGAAATATCGTTATCGATGATACATGGTCTTCGTCTTGGTCCAGCGCTGTTGGCATTTTCAATCACTGTGAGGGCCTGTATGCGTCGCTTGGGGGTTTCGCAGCTCTTAGAGAAGTGGTACTGAGGTACCGTCTACGCGAGAATGAGTACAGGATGACTCCACACCTGAGGGACTTTGCTCTGCTTGAGAGACTGGAAAAAGAGGAGAGACCAAGAGGGTATGAGATGTTTTATGAGATATTAGATGTTCACCCGGGGCCGAAGATTGAAGGTCTGTTGTTTGATCGGTGGGTTATTGGTGAGAGAAAGAGTATACGCGGGGTGGACTCAGATGAAGGCGTGGAATGAAAGCTTTTGCAAGCATCAGGAAGGACGAGGAAATAAAGACATGCTGAGAATGTGTATTTAGACGAGTATAACCTTTTTCCTCTGCCCAGGCTCGATTTCCAGTGTGTCCATTACATGTCCGTAAGTCTTATCGGCTGTCTGCCCGATGCCTATTCGCTCGTAGCAGGTCTCCGCAAAGCGGTGCGACTCAACAACCAGCAGGAAGTAGGTAATGGGAGTGCTGCTGAAGGTTGTGTGCACCCTCTGCGATACGATCAGAGCCATGCATTGGGTAATACAGTTTTCTGGGATGCGATCATGGTAGCCTGTACCGATACAGACACCACGCTCGTCGAAAATATCGACCACCATGCGAAGATAAGGGTCGCTGTATGGCGCGCTTCCGTCTGAGTACGAGCGGCAGACAACGTCGAGGCTATAGGCCTCCAGCATCAGAACGCCATCCCCAGTATGCGCAAAGGAAGTAACGGCTCGCTCGAGCATGGGTTGGTGTTCAAGCACCGTGGCTGCAAGTTGGGTGTCGATCGTCCTTGATTCGCGGCTGAAGATCATGTTTACTGGGCCATCCAGAGAAGCCCACGACCAAGAAGGTGGACTGGAGCTAGCGGTAACCCGTCGCACGGGCATGAGCGATCCGTCGGCATACCAGAGGAGGCCAGCATGGACATGTTCTCTCCACAAGCCAGCCTTATATGTAAAATGGGTGACTTCGCAAAATATTTGCGCAATGCCAGCAATCGCCATGAAGACATCGCTGCGGTATGTGAGACTCAGCCGAGAGTACTGACATACAATGCGATACCATTGCATCATAAAGGCCTCGCTTTCCGGCACATGTCTGCCAAACCCCCCCACGGTCGGATTGTTGGCGAAAGTAAGGCAGCGCTTGAAGCTCTCGTTAGACCACTCGCCCTCTTGCCATGCTTCAGGGTTCTCCTCCGCACTCCCTTCTCTTGCAGAGGTCTCGAGACACTCCCAGAAGATTTCGTTCTTCTCGAAATGCACGACTCTTCTTGACAACAATCGCTCCTGCAATACCCATGCTCGTTTGTTCAGTGGCGATTCATGAAGCACTTCGCTCCAAGTGGGCCGCGCTCGACGAAGATGAAGGTTCTCACCCAGACTGATCGTTGATACCGACTCTCGAGGTTTGAGGAAGCCGACATGAGAGTCTTGTGCGCTCAGTATAGAGAGTGTGGCGAAAGCATTTCGGTAGTAGCTTCCCATATTGCTGACGTCTAGGTCGCGGCTCGCAGTATCGTCTTGCACGATACAAAGTGCATCGACCCAAAGTAGCTTGAGGCCCAACCTTCGGGTAGCGTAGATGGCGTCTCGAAAGTTTTGCGGGAGGTAATGGGTGTCTAGACCAGTTTTGAACCCTTCCACTGTTGTTCTTAAGGTGGCTGACATAGTACCTGCAGCGCCCCAGCAGTGGCTGAGTGCGGCATAACGCTTGTCGCCTCTACAGGACGATCCATGTACCAGCTTCAAAGTCTCCACGTTCAGCAGTGTGTTTGGCATCGACGGTGATTCTTCTTTATGACAGCATGCATGAGTGGAAGTGCACCCGTCGAGCCATGTTTGTATCAAATCCCAGCACGGTTCGGAATTGGCATGCGAGTGGATCCGTCTGAAGAAAGTCTGGTTGCTTGGGTGCTTGCCTGTTCAGTGTCAGCCTCATATCGGTAGCTTCATATCGCTGCTACCTACGCTCAGTGAATATCTCGAACCGATGCAATGTGTTACTAAAGTCGATTACTGCTAGACATGGTCCATGCCGAGCTACTTCAAGATGGGCGTCTTCAACGGAGCGTCCTAAAAGGCCAACGACAAGCTCCTCATAGAAGTATCTACAGAGAGTACAGCCTCGCGCAGCCGCTATCTTTAGAGGTTTCGCGTAGTATCGTTGTGTCGTGTCATGTTTCGCGACTAGGCGGCACGTGGCACACAAGTTGGTGGTATCCCAAGGAACGAGGAAGGTTGAAGTAAGTACAGCCATGCTTACACGAAGTAAAAGAGAAGGCTGGAAAGCTCAATTGTAATCATCTTGAAGTACATTGAGTCTTCCGTGCCACAGAAATCGATTGGTGGCTGAGCGCCGTCCAGGATCTTCCCACAGCCACATTAGCGGCACATGCGTGACCTGGTCGCCGCGTCTGCCTGGTATAAGAGACACGGAATAGGAGGACTCGAGTGTCGACAATGAAGAGCAGTCGTAATGGGGGTGGCGCATGCGTGACGAAGGAAGTCGCAATGTTGACGGTGCGAACCACAAGGCTGCTCCTAGTGCAGGGGTCCTCGCCAAAACAGGCATCGACCCGCGCATGTCGTCAGTAGATCCCATCCATCGTGACTTTGCTCACACTGCGTGACTACGCGCTACGGCTACATAATATTCTTGATGTGATTATGGTACGTGTAATCAGACGACAGACCAGGCATGGTGGAAGTAACTTGAACGCGGTGGTAAAGTAGCCGGACCTGACAAATATGAGTACAAGAGTCGCTGCCCGTGTGCTTCCTGCGCCCAACGATTTACGACAGGACGACCGGCGTCCAGCGAGGCCGTAATACATCAACCCCTCCATAGCTAAAACCCATGAGTAATTTTGCGTTGCGTGCCTAAGGTTTTCCGAAAGATTTTCGTCGTGAAGTTTCGCAGGCGTCCTCTAGAGAGCGCTTCCTCTCACACTGCGAACCTCTTGGGTTCCGTACTCGAGATTTTACTCGCTAGGATGGTCAAGCGAAGCGGAAGTTCAACTTTCGAGCTTAAAGTCTATTCCGCTGTTGGACGAATGGAATCTCTCTCCAAGGTAAAATCCGTAGTGTGAACAGATCGACGATCGCGCTAGCGAGGTGTAGGGAGTGCCGGCAGCTATTGGAGCCACAACTGCCTCAAAACCAGTCGGAAGCCAGGCACGAGGCTTTTGAAACTCCTTTTGAACGATGCTTGAATAGACTAACCTATCGCTCCTGCCGAAGCAGAAGAAAGGTCAGCTGTGGCTAAAAAACAACGGGCGGCAAGATAGTCCCGGGCCTCGAGATCGCAGAAGGGGCGGGTGCACTAGCCGCTGTCGGCTAGGCTGAAGCACCTGCAGAGATCTGGCCACGACGCTGCTTGAGGCTTGACAGGCGAGCTATGCACGCCAATCCACTGCATTCCTGCCGTGATGCCTCATCTATGCTAGTCTTTGTTTTTCGCTGGCTATGCCCTTCGCATCAACGTGCCCCGTTGTTGCGGAAAACTCTCAGGGATGGGCTCAGCTCGCTGCGTTGAGCGTCAGCCACTCAGCGCTCTAAGGCGGCCTCTGTCTGGCGTCGCGAAGCCATTGCCTACATACTTGAAACGTATTCGCAGGTCTCTCCCCACCAGACAGTGTGTCGTGCCTTGACCTTGAACGGCATGTCCCGGAGAACAGTGTAGGGGTCCAAGGATTCGATAGTCCAGACTCTGGACAGAGTAATCTGCATGGCCTGCGCGGTCTAGATTCTCACGAGACGCCTGGCTTGCCACTCATGGAGCCGTTGACCCCGGGACCGGCACCAACGATGAATTGTGGCTGAGATGTATACTGGCGCAGCAGCCCGCGGGTCCGTACCATAACATCTTTCTCTTGTCTGGTCGCGCTATCGACATCATTATGGCGGTAGAGCTTGAGCAGCCTCACCTCTCTTTCCTCACGAATCCGACGGGCGACGCAGCTATCGACGCCGACTTGCAATACATTCGGGACTTGGACTGGGCCAGAACCGCCGCCGGACTCATTTCATCGTGGCCTCGCGAATTATTGTTACTCATCCACGTCGCTATGCTCTCTCCTCAACCACAGCTCTTCTTACTTGGCTCGGATTCGACTGTCCTTTACAACACAGCGTATGGTCGGCTGCTGCATGACCACCATCCGCTGTACCAAGGGCGACCTATAAGTCTAAACACAGCTCTAATTCAACAGCTGCCCGAACTCGATGTACTGGGCGAATACGCAAGCGAAAAGTCTGGATTCAATAGCGACCAACATACACCGTTCTTCTTCTCCCGAAATGGTCGCCTCGAGGAAATCTTCTTGTCCATCACCACGACGGGCTTACCGCCGTCCCTGGGCGGCTTCCATGCCACAACCTACAACGTTACCCGAGACGTGTTGGAGTCTCGCCGCGAGCGTTCTTTAGACGAGTTTCGCAATGCTTGCGAGACTGCTTCGGATCTGGATACGCTGTGGCCTTCAATTTTGAAGGGTATAGCTAACGGAGATGGAGACATATCGTTCGCTGCTTTATACCGCATCGAGACGAACCAAGACAGTATGAGCGAGACTGGTCCTTCCAAGAATCAGGCCAATCCGCTAGCCTTTGCCCTCTCTGGCACCGTTGGTTCCTTCCCGGCCGCACCCTTATCCACAATCGAGCCAAGTATGGATGAAGCATGGGTGAAAAGCTTATTCAGGAGTGTCGATTCTCGTTCGCCGGTACTTCTCCAGGCTGACAACGGTACTCTTCCCAAGGAAATGTGTGAAGCATCTACGAGCCGATGCTATGGCGACATCTGCCACCAGGCTGTTGTATTGCCAAGTGTCTCGAACCGGACTGCCAATGTTCATGCTGTCTTGATCGTCGGTCTGGCACCTCGTACACCTTACGACCGCTCCTACCAAGCTTGGATCAAGACACTTCATCGTGACTTCTCGCACGAAGTGATCTCGATGGCAAACGTTGAAGCTAGGAGCCGTACCGAGAAAATCCGGAGAGAAAGTGTTGCTATAGGAAATGACATTTTCGCCAAAGAAGAAGCCCTCAAACAACAAGAGCTTGCGCGCGCAGCAGCGCTGGAGCAGCTTCATCTCAGCGAATCGCGGCTGCAAGAAGCTGTAGAGGCCAAACGGCAACAAGAGAAGTAAATGATAACCTACTCATGGTGTGCTTCCATCTGCTAACAGGGCGAAGCTTCGTTGACATGGTGAGCCATGAAGTACGCTTCGGAATTTGGACGGGTCGTTGCATGTCCTAACATACCGCAGATTCGAAACCCTCTTAGTGCTGTTATGCACTGCGCGGATTCCATAGCCCACTCGCTCTCTGAAGTAAGGCTTCTCCTCAATCAGTGCGAGAAGCGAAGCGCACCCGACAATGACAGCTCCCGCACCGCCGACGACTTGCGAAATCTTAACAGCAGTATTGGCGATGCTGTCGATACGATCATGGCATGCACCATGCATCAGAAACGTATCATCGATGACATCCTCTCGCTCTCCAAACTGGACTCGAATTTGTTGGAGATCTGTCCGACAGTCTTTCACGTCAAGACGTTCTTGAATCAAGTCGAAAGCACTTTCAGAGCGGAGGCTGAACAGGCTGGAGTTCAGCTTGTAGCTGTAGCTGATTCTTCATTGAGCGAGCTCGGCGTTGACTGGATCGATGCTGATCCGGGCAGAGTGACACAAGTGCTATTCAACATGGTCGCCAATGCAATCAAGTTCACCAAGGATAGACCCGACGAAAGAGCTGTCACTGTTCGCATCGGAGTAGCAGCTTGGCCACCCACTGCTATCTTTGACGGTCTCATCAAAGCAGTCCAAAAGAGCGAGTCGACCGATCAACCAGTACCCGAGGTCGAACCATCGGACGGGTCAATATTCCTGTGGTTCAAAGTCGAAGATACAGGGTGCGGAATGGATGAATCGACCAAAGCGCGCGTCTTCAGCCAGTTCACCCAGAACATGCCCAAGACATACAGCAAATACGGCGGTTCTGGGCTGGGGTTGTCCATCAGCAAGAAGTTGGTGGGCTTGATGGGTGGCGAGATTGGCTTCCAGTCCCAGCAACATATCGGGTCGACATTTGCTTTCTATACAAAAGCATCTAGGGCTCCACCACCGAGACCGTCTCTTTCTACTAGAAGCTCCGAAAAGTCCATCATTACCGAAGGACCAACCTCGCCGCTGCCTCATGCGATGGGTGCCGCTGCGGATACGCCGCCGACCACCCAATCTAGCATCCTGCTTGTGGAAGACAACATGGTCAACCAACGGGTGCTTAAGAAACAGCTACAACTCCAGGGCTACATCGTTTACACAGCCGACAATGGCCAAGAAGCTTTCGACTTCATCAAAACTACGCAACACTGGAAGGGCTCGACCTCATCGCAACCACGCGGCGATGAGCCACGTATCGACGTCATCCTTATGGACATTGAGATGCCCATTGTCAACGGGCTTGAGTGCGCAAGTATGATTCGCGCTGCGCAGGAAGACGGGTCAATCGATAAGCATCTACACATTATCGCTGTTACCGCAAATGCAAGACCCGAGCAACTGAAGCGCGCGCGAGAGACTGGAATGGACGACGCAGTTCCGAAGCCCTTCCGCGTACGAGATCTCGCAGCTGTTATAGAGCAACTGAGAATTGAGTGATCGGGCCAGAGGATGCCTTACGGTGAAGCGGTGACCAGCGCGCCTGCCCGTTTCGTCTTGTTTGGCTTTCACCTCACCAGGGTCTAAATGCTTGGCACGACAACTACGTTGCAACATCAAGTCGTCGCTTTCTTCGCGTCGAGACAGTGTAGCTACCTCGACACGACTCAAGGTATGTTACGTAACAGCTGAGCATGCGTCCCTACTAACTCACAACAGATGAGCTTCAATCTGGACGCACTCTTCCACAACCCTGATGACTTGCGTTCGGGGACTTTGTCGCTTAGTCTGTCAGTCTCCAAAGCGTCTACTGTAGAGTCCGCCGGTGGCCTCTGGCACGAGAACGCAGTCGATGAAGAACAGGAAGCGGAATACGGTGAAGAGGCACGTCTGAGAACTACCATCGCAACCTTGAGTCAGCAATGCGAATACTGGAAAGGGCAGGCTGAGGAACGAGGCAAGACCACCCACGATCTAGATCGAAGGACTGCCAAAACCGCTGCTGGATCTGATCTTCCGACTGACACCGTACGCCGTCTCAACCGCCTCGAAAGCGAGGTCACGCGTCTGCAATCCGAAAACACGCAGCTGAAGGACACACTCAAGATCATCGAGTACGAGAATGTCAATCTGGGCAATCAGAACGATGGGAAGACGCGGAAGCTGAAGGGTGCCAACAAGAAGGTCAAGAATGCTAAGGATATGGCGGGAAAGGAGGAAGAGAAGGCCAAAGACGCTCAAGGTGATAAGCAGCGCCATCTCGCATCCGAACGCAGGATGCAGAAGGAACGCGGTGATGCTTTGGCTGCACTACAGCAACAGAGAAAGCTCAACGGTGACCTGCGCGCGGAGCTTGAGGTCGAGCAGTCTGGTGCACCTCACATGCGCGATGTTGCTGCGGACCCGAACGACACCACTGCCATTATCCCGATTCAGTTTGACATCCGTCGCACCGATGTGCAACCTATGATGAGAGTCCTTCAGTGGCACCAGATGAACCTCACCGAAAGGTTCAAAGAGTGGTACAAGGACTGGAAGAAAGCATCTACCGGTGAGGTACGCAAGGTAGTCGGCTCAGAAGGTGTGGATGAAGAGAAGAAGAAGCTCGAGAAGCTGTATGGGGATATGGTTGAGATGCCTGATGGCCACATGGAGACTGCAGCTGAGCACGATGGGTGGCGATCGAAGCGCGACACAACGGAGAAATGTAGATGTTGGGGATGGTGGCTTCATACCTCTTCGCTCCATTTTGATACGTAGCATCGAAGAGCACGCCATCCTACAGTGGATACTACAGACTACCTAGGAATCTACATCACCGTCAGACCCGCTAAACTCTTGTTTCTGTACTAATGTAGACTGCGGTACCCCTTTAATTGCTGCACCACATTATCACTCTTCCTCTTCCTCCCCCGAACCAATGAATGATGCGGCACGATGCCGAGGATTGGCTGCATAGACGGCAATCTCATAGCCCCAGGCGCTGACGTTTTCTTCCAACGTAGTCAGCAAAGGACGCTTCCAAACATGCCGGGTAGAAGTGGTTGAGAATCCCGAGAGTTGTTGTATTGTGAAAGTCGTGTGTTAGCTAAGCACCGAAGACGATCCCTAGCATCCTCGACCCGCGGCAGGTCTGACGCACGACGCACGACCCTCCGACCCACATCACTCCGCCAAACAACACCGCCAGGGTTCAATAGCGACCATGTCCAACATCCTGCCCTTACACCACTCGTACTACCCCTCGCGCCAGTCGTCTCTCTCGCGGTCCGTAGACACTGCGCAAAAGCCATCGACATCCTCCTCTGCAGCCACGATCCGTCCGCAACCCGGCACACAATCGCAACCACAAGGGCAGCACATCGCAATGAGCGGCGCCCCAAGTCAAGGGCCTGGGCTGCGGTACCCTTCGAACAAAAAGAGCATATACGACAGGAATCTGAACCGGAGCAAGAATGCGGAGCTTAGTAGAGCGGCGTTTGCGTACCTCTTCATTGAGATGATTGCGTATGCGCAGAAGGGCGCGAAGGATGTGGGGGACTTGGAGCAGAGGTATGCTAGATGCATGCAGCTGCGGAACTTCACATATGCACTGCGACATACCGCATTGGGTTTCCAGCCGAACGTGTTCTGACACCATCTAGACTCAACACACAAGGCTACCCCATTGGCCTCCGCCTACTCGACCTCCTCCTCTCACGTACCGCCAACCCCCTCGCGAGCATTCGACCCACACGCATCCTGCCTCTCCTCCAATTCATTGCACAACAGCTATACCGATACCTATTCGGCCGACCTGCCGATGCATTAGAAAAGTCTGGCACCGACCCAGGACAGTACATGCTCTTCGACAACGACCCCATGGTCAACCAATACATAAGTTTGCCCAAAGAACTGTCGAGTTTGAATTGCGCGGCTTTCGTTGCGGGCATAATTGAGGGTGTGTGCGACGGTGCGGGGTTCCCAACCGAGGGCGTGACAGCGCATAGTGTAGGCGACGAGGAAGGCAAGGGTCTGTGGCCGGGAAAGACGGTCTTCTTGATCAAGTTCAAGCCCGAGGTGTTGGAGAGGGAGGAGATACTGGGCAGGGGTGGGGGCTGAGCTTTGAAGGGTCATTCAGTTCTTGAAAAGCAGCTGGGTTCAACTGCTCATGATGGCATAGCGAGGCGTTGTGGACTTTCTGGAATTCAAGACTGCTATCCGTCCGCATGTACATGATTGCACTGTCGAATCGACTTCCGCGAGACCATCCGTCAGTTGAGAATAGGTTCTCCCATCTGCATGACCGATGACTCCGCTCAAACGTTCCTTATACGCATTGCGCCAGCATATATGGCCTCTCCCGCACAGACTGCTATCACCGACTACCAGATGCGGCAAGCGCAGAGACACGTGATCGTGACGCTGATGACAAATGCTGATTGGCCAGACCATTCGTGGTATGGCGCATCTATTGGAAAGAACATTCCACAAGGTTGCGCCATCGCAGTCCAACAAATACAAAAGTACAGCCTGAGTTGACGACAGCTCCAGTACGCTACAGTTGCCTCTCAACAGCTCTTCAGCAAGACACAACACTCAAATCACTCGACACACAACCTTGGCACGCCGCCTTGCCAATATCATCAAACATGCCAACAGAGATCTCAGCGCCATTGCACTTCCGCACCCTTCTAAATGGCCATACCTATCTCATCGCCGACTTCTACGCAACATGGTGTCCGCCTTGCAAGCAAATCGCGCCCATCTACAATCAACTCTCCACTACGCACGCCTCACCAGGGAAATTCGCATTCGTAAAAGTCAATGTGGATGAGCAGCGAGAGATCGCGGGGCAATATGGTGTCACAGCTATGCCGACATTCATGGTCTTCAAGGACGGTAAGAAAATCGAGGAGATCAGGGGCGCGGATGTGAGGGCGCTGAAGGCTGCCGTGGAGAAGGTTGCTGGTGAGCTGGGGAGGGTTAAGGAGGAGAAGGTTGAGGCGAAGAAGCCTGAGGTCAAGCCAGAGGTCAAGGAGGACAGCAACAAGGAGGAGGACGAGAAGACCGTTAGCGGGAGTTACGGGATGACTGGGGGGAACAACTGGAAGATGTCGTTGCATTAGATATGGAAGGTTTGGAATGTAATAGCCACATGCAGGTCTGGAGGGCGATGTCTTTGTGATACCCAGGAATTGAATGCGTATTGTAGTAAACAATGTTTATCAACAGCTATGTATACGACTGAGACTGTGATTAGTATACGTGATCACTATCCAATGTACGTCATCCTGTCGCGTTGGTGTTGGATTTGTAAAGTTGAGACGCGTAAGGACACCTTTCAGACTAGCGATCGCCACCGCGAGACCCTGATAGCCGCTGTGCTGCTCTAGCTCCCCACCAGATTTCCCACCGCTCTTCAACACACATTTGGAGCTTCAACTCATCCTTGAGCTTCACACACATCTAAGATGCTTTTCCGCAATTTAATACCCGCAGCCATTGCGCTGCTGCCCGCAATTGCCTCGGCATCGGCCGTCATCGACCTCACACCCTCCAACTTCGACGATGTCGTTCTTAAGTCCGGCAAGCCCGCCCTCGTAGAGTTCTTCGCTCCCTGGTGCGGCCACTGCAAGAACCTCGCCCCCGTCTACGATGAGCTCGCTGGCGTCTTCCAGCACGCTGGAGACAAGGTCAGCGTCGCAAAGGTCGATGCTGATGCTCACAAGGCGCTCGGCAAGCGTTTCGGTGTCTCGGGCTTCCCTACCCTCAAGTGGTTCGACGGAAAGAGCGACAAGCCCACGGATTACAGCGGCGGACGTGACCTCGAAAGCTTGAGCAAGTTCATCACAGAGAAGAGCTCGGTCAAGCCTAAGGTCAAGGGCAAGCTGCCTAGCCAGGTCGTCTACTTGGACGACAAGACCTTCAAGGAGAAGGTTGGAAAGGACCAGGATGTGCTCGTTGCCTTCACTGCCCCATGGTGCGGACGTATGTCATGCTGACCTCTTCTCTATCGATTGTTCATAGCTAACACCTGGCAGACTGCAAGACTCTCGCCCCCGTCTGGGAGACCCTCGCCAACGACTTCGTTACCGAACCCGGTGTCTTGATTGCCAAGGTCGACGCTGAAGCTGAGAACTCCAAGGCCCTCGCACAGGAGCAAGGCGTGTCATCCTACCCGACCATCAAATACTTCCCCAAGGGCTCCACCGAGCCTCTCCCCTACAACGGCGCCCGCGCTGAGAAGGACTTCGTCGACTTCATCAACGCTAACGCCGGTACCCACCGTGCTGTAGGTGGTGGTCTCGACGCTACTGGTGGCACCATTGAGGCCTTCAACACCCTCATTGAGAAGTTCCAGGGCTCGTGGGCCGGCGGTGCTGAGGAGGCCAAGACCCTCGCCGGTACTCTGCAAGACAAGTACGCCGAATACTACGTCAAGGTCTTCAACAAGATCGGTGCCAACCAGGAGTACGCTGCGAAGGAGCTCAAGCGTCTGCAGGGACTTATTGCCAAGGGCAACCTGGCACCCGAGAAGATGGATGACCTGATGAGCAGGAGCAACATTTTGAGGAAGTTCATGGGTGATGCTGAGGAGGAGAAGTCTGAGTTGTAGACGACCCGTGCGTGAAGTAAGATTCCGCAATGAGGCATACCATCAACACTATTAAGATGATTAGATGAGCTGGGGGCGCAAAGAGGCCTGGCGCAGGAGCGACAGGCATACTTGATCATGACAATGAGAAAGAGGAATAAGTAGTAGAGAACCAAAAGTCAATACCCAGATTGCATACGATCTATGTAATTTAAAACCAAACGCCATTGACTGAGACGTGCGCATTGTACACCGCCTGCTTTTGACCAAACATGATGCCTTCCCTGCAAATCTACTTGCCAGACCCTGAACCCTTAGTACCATCTCCAGCCTGGATAGTTGCTTCAAGGTTATCCAGCCGCCGTGACATGTCATCCACTACGCGTTATTAGCCTTCAATGTGCCTCCCATAGACATGCTTGTACTTACTCTTGGCGAGCAGCTCGCTGCTGACTGTAGTGAACTTGGTGTTGAGTTGATTCAGGAGATCGTCAACAACCGCTGTAAGCTCTCCAGAACTCTCGGCATCTTTTGAGACAGCAGACTGTGCGCGTGTTAGGTAGAGCGGGGCATCGTGAGTGTAACAAGCACGTACCGCAGTGTCGCTTTGCGCGCGGTCTGCTAGTGGCTGCGGTGTCGCCATGACTGAATGTGTTTGTGAGGAAAGGTGAGAACGATGCGAGTAGTCTGCGGATTTGGGACAATTTCAGCACCTCACAAGGCGATTGTCAAGCGGTCTGCTATTATACAACAGGAGAGATGCGCATAACGTGGATATGTAAGGTCGCGGAGCACGTGGTCTTCGCCGCGGCTTCCTGCCCGTTTCGTAGGCGGTCAAGCTAGCGTGCGCGCTAAAATGTTTCTGCGCCCAGACTTCGAAGTTCACGAATTATTTTCTGGGAAGCTTTGACGTCTTGTCTTTTGCGACGTCCGATACTCCACACCCTTCAAAACTCCCTCGAACTCAGACGATATGGCGAAGAAAGGCGTGCTCAAGTCGGCACTTGACAACTACCAGGGTCGCGACATCAAGCGCGAGAAGCAGAAGAAGTACGTCAAGCAGGCGCTGAAGCGCAAGGAAAAGCGCGAGGCCAGGAAGGCTGCAGAGGAGGGCGAGAAGGATACCGAGGAGGGCGGCGTGCCTGTGCCGTTGGATGAGGTAGAGGTGAAGGTCAATGGCAAGACAAAGAAGTCGAAGAAGGACAAGAAGGCCGACGCAAAGGCTGCGCCAGCAGTCAAGGAGCCCGAGTGGGAGACCGAGGGCGAGGATGACGACGACGACGCAAGCGACGATGAAGACGCGCCCAATGGACTTCAAGTAGACCTTGACCACCTCAACGACACCGATAGCGACATCAGCTCAGACGAGGAGGAGATACAGGCTGATGAGGCTGCAGAGGATGAAGACGCTGAAGATGACGAGGACGAGGACGATGACGAGGATGACATTGCGCTATCTGATCTAGACTCCGTCGCTTCAGAGGACAAGGGTGACATTATCCCGCACCAGCGCCTTACCATCAACAACACCGCCGCCCTCACCGCAGCCTTGAACCGCATCCAACTTCCCTACTCGAAACTCGCCTTCTCGGAATACCAATCGGTAACTACCGACGAGCCTGTTGAGATCGCCGACGTCGAGGACGACCTCAACCGTGAGCTCGCCTTTTACAAGCAATGCCTATCCTCGGTCAAGGATGCGCGGAAGAAGCTGAAGAAGGAGGGCGTGTCGTTCTCTCGACCGGCCGACTACTTTGCGGAGATGGTCAAGAGCGACGAGCACATGGGCAAGATCAAGCAGAAGCTGATTGATGCCGCGGCAGGCAAGAAGGCCGCCGCAGAGGCACGCAAGCAGAGAGACTTGAAGAAGTTCGGAAAGCAGGTTCAGGTCGCGAAGCTACAGGAGCGCGCCAAGGAGAAGAAGGACACCATTGAGAAGATTCAAACTCTCAAGAGGAGTATGTGTTACCCATATTTGAGAAGTTGCCTGGCAGTATACTGACAAACATGCAGAGCGACAAGGAGCCGACATCACAGCCACCCACGAAGAAGACCTCTTCGACGTCGCCGCCACCGCTGATGACGACAAGTCCGACCGCCGCGGTCGTGGTGGTGCTGGCGGCAAGGACTTCAACAAGCGCCAGAAGAAGGACTCGAAGTACGGCTTCGGTGGCAAGAAGCGTCACGCGAAGAGTAACACCGCCGAATCCAGCGCGGACGGGAGCGGCTTCTCGGCTCGCAGGATGAAGGGCAAGCCCAGCGGTGGTGCAAGCAAAAGGCCTGGCAAGGATAAGAGAGCGAAGAGACACTAGGTGGTGTAGTAGTATGGAAGGCTGAATGACAATCACATGTCACGTTCTGCATGCGTATGGCGCTCTGGCGTTCAGGGACTGCGTCTAAAAGCACATTATGTATTCTAAGAGGCGGAATGTCTTACTTTGCTAGGAGATACCAATGCACAATCGTATGAACGTCTGGAGTCACTTCGAACTGCCGCTGATATCTCATTTAACCATTTCAGATGAGAGAGTTGGCGCCTACATACCGCCTTGTCTGGGCGATATCGCACGCCATCAACCCCCGTAGCAGTATACAAGATCGTTTGTATCGGTCTGTCGGCGCCCCATATTGGAGCCCGAAGGCTCCAGGCGCCAGTCCCGCCTTCACCGCGATACCGCAAACCACAAGCGACGACGTCATCTAACAAACGCTCGCAAGCTACTACGTCCGTGCTTGCTCTTCACGCATACATTGCCCATCCCTCTCACCTTCATAAACTTCTCAAGCACCACCCCCGACTACATCGCCTCAGCACCGACATTACGATACTCGACGATATCACAGGTCCTCGACTATCCCTACATCTCACCATGGACAAAGGCATCTACTTCGAAGGCGACGATGAAGTCATGCCCTTCAACAAATCCACTCCAATCCCCGCTCCCAAAGTCGACAAGCCAGTCGATGAGCTCGCCTTCATCGACGTCGAACCCAACACAATCTGGTATCTCAGCATCATCCGACCACACATCGATTCCCACGAACTCATCGGTCCTGCGAAAGCCTTCCACCACCTCCTCCCTCAAATCGAAGACGTCATCAGCAACTCACCTCCCGCAATCGACAAGCTTGCCGTCATAAAAGAGAAGCCAAACGACGACTTCCTGTTTGAAGATGACGAAGATGAAGAGAAGGAGGTTGATGAAGAGTTCTTGGAAAAAGGCTTCGACACATTCATTGTTGAGGGCCAACGTGGCGTTTACACTGTACTGAAGATAACTCGCGAAATCAACAAAGACGTCTTCGATATCCTGCCCGCGCCCGTCTACACCATTATCTCCGCTGGCCCTCTTGCCCATGCTGAACACCATTCCTCTACCTCCTTGTCTTCGAAATTCGAGGCTTCCAAGCCAAAAGGATACGCGGCTACAACTAAGCTTCACGCCTCCTACGTCGACCGCGCTGATGCAAAGGAAGATGCTGAACACATCTTCACCGTCTTACTCCTCGATACGGAGGACGTGAAGCAGA